CGTCTCTTTGCGCCCGGCCCCCGCACAGCTGAGTTATTTCGGGTTTGGACATGAAAGCCCAACAACTCGCAGGAGACGCTTCCTCCGGCCCCCGGCTCGGACCACGCGCCACATGTGGCTGGCTCTAGGAGCTCCTGGTCTCTTCGCGGGATCCCCGAGCTGGGGAAGCCCCTGCGGGAGGAAGGATGGGGGGGGCTGGAGCATCCCGGGCCCGAGATTCTCGAGCCCCCCAGCGGCCAAGCCGGGCATTAACGCTGCCCAGAGCCCAGCCGTGCGTCAGCCGTAGTCCTGGTAACAAGCAGAGGACGTCACCGCCAGGCGGTGCGTCAACAGACTGCTGACGTCACGCCCCGGGAGAGGCAATGGGCTCCGTAGGAACCGGATTCCAGGCCCCGCAGGCAGGGCAGTGACGTCACTAGGGGCGGTGGTGGTGGGGTGAGGGGTGCGGAGCACACTGCGTGACATTGTCACAGAGGGTGACACCAAAATAACTTGTCTAAAATTTTTGTGTACTGTTTCAACAGAAATTTATTATTTTTTAATAAAAAAATCCTAGTTATACCAACAAAAACATATTTCATAAGCCCAGTCAGTTTAAATGCATCAATATACTTATGAGGCTAAAACTCTATGCTAATTTACTTTTTAAACCTTTTATTGCACTTGGTCAGAGTTGTCCTTATTACCCAATTACAACAACATTCAAATTGCATGTTTTTGTCTACCGGCCTGACAAGCCTGCAGACTGGTTTTCGTTGCTGCTGGTGTTTTTATAGTTACTGATTTTGTCAAATTTTCTGGTGTTTTAGGTAATCAGTATTTGTGAACTTATTATCGATAACTTTTGAGAATGAAGTGGTAATTAAAGGAAAAGGAGAAAAATCAAAACAGGCTTCCGCTTAGTTACTAATAATGCTATAACTAATAAAGGTGTAATTCAACATGGAAAGATATTACAGAACACTTTCGTTGTTAGTATTCATATAATCTAAGAAATACTTAAGCAATTTACAATTAGTTATCACATATTATTCTATGATTAAAATTGATAATAAACATTACTAAGGATTCTGTATGGTCCATGGGGGGGTGACACTATGAGTTACCACAGTAGTTGACACCAAACCTAGTGAAGCCACTGTGGCAGGGATCGCCCCAGGGAGCTAATGGCAGATGCCTTTGGTTTGGTCCTGCAGGAGGCGCTGGCCTGGCCTCCATGGCCCCTGCATCCCCCACGAACTCTAGGTTGGCTGGATGAAGAGGAGTCGAAGTGTCCTTTCAGTGGCCGGGACTGGGGATGAGGTGCGAGAGGTGGCAGAGTGGGGTCTGGGGCAGGGTGGGTGGTTGGGTGGTGGAGCTAGGTTTGGGTCCCAGACGGACGCCCTCTGGCGATCGAGGTTGTTTCCAGAACGGGGCGTTATTGCCTCCAAGCAGCAAGGCTGTCTCATTCCTGGTGCCCATTTAGATCCTTGATTCCATTCTCCTGCTCCCAAGGGTCTTCCCAAGTAGGGAGAGCATTGTGGTGAGGAGATGAGAGGAGAGAGCTGGGCGGGGAGTCAGGGCCTCAGATGTGAAGGGTGGGAGGGGCCCCAGACCTGAAGGCCGAGAGAAAGCCTGTTAGAGAGTGGGAAAGAACGTAAAAAGTGAGGTGTTGGAGGAGCCTCAGACTTCGTGAAGACCCAGAGTCTCAGGGCTTAGACAGTGAGTGGGAGCCCCACAAAAATTATGGCTGAGACGTGACTCCCCAGACGTGAGGGATGGAGGGGACCCTAGCTGGGAGGGATCAGATGTGAGGAGGGCACAGAGGGCCCATCCTTCCATCAGCCACGCCCTCAGGTGGCTAGGTGGGTTAGTTCCTGGGGGTTGGGGCTCAGAACTGTTCGGCCAGGCCGCGCCCCATCCCGCCCTTGTTCCTCCTCAGAGGCTGCGGGAGACCCCGGAGCCCTGCCGATCCAACATGTTGGGGGCCGACCTCCGCCGGCCCCGCCGCCGCCTATCGTCAGGTCCTGGCCTGGCCTGGGCTCAGACTGAACACCCGGACCCTGGGGTCTCACTGCCACCACGGCCTACCACGCTGCCGCTGCTGATCCCTCCGCGCATTTCCATCACCAGGGCGGAGGCCAACAGGTAGGCGGGAACCAGGGGAACCAGGCTGGGATGGGGGCAGGGGGAGGGGTTAGAGAGGAGGAACAGGGCCAGCTGGACTTGGTCCAGCCACCAGCCCTTTCGGAACTCCAGGCTCCCTGCGATTTTGCAAAACCAGCTGAAACTTCTCCCAAAGCGCAGACCGTCTGCCTGTGGCACCCTTCCCCCAAGGTGCCTCCTGCAGCTTCTAGGAACCCCTTCCATTTTGCAGCTGCTTGAGTCAGCAAGGGGCAGGATTGAGAGAGAGTTCAGGCCTCCAGCCTCCAGCGATGGCTCCACATTCACAGAGCCGGCACAGGCTGGGGACTGGGCTTGGGACCAGAACACTGTTGGCCTGTTTCCCCAATAGGAGGAAGGATTCAGTTTCTTCCACATCTCAAAGGGGGTAGTGAGACCCTGAAGGAAGTCTGGAGGGCATTTTTCTCTTTGCTGAAGGAACTTAGGAGGGTCTGTGAACCCAGCTGCAGCCTGTACTTTCTTGCTATTTCTCATCTGGGGTCCTCCAAAGGCACCCCACCCCCCTCCTGGCCCAAGGATCGGTTGTAAAGGCAGACAGCTGAGCTGATCCCGGCTGCTGGCCTATCCCTTACAGCCACTGCACTCCCTAGGCCTCTGCTTCCTGCAGGCTCCTGTACCAGTTTATTATTCAGGGTCTCTGCTTGGGTCCTGGTACAATGGATCATTCCCACATGGGGGAGGAAGTGATTGTCATTCTCCCCCCACCCCTAAGGCTCTGGCTGTTACCTCCTTCAGAGCCCACCTAGATCATCCCTGTCTAAGGCCAGCCTCCATCTACAGCCCTGACCCTCTGACTCCTTTCGTCCCCCTCTCTTCTGCAACCCCAGCTGTGGCCTGGCTCTCTCCCCCCACTCCACCCAGGGCGTTCCCATCCCCCTTCCAGAGGTCTGGCCAACGCTATAAAGCACCCTTCTAAGAATTTGGCTCAGCCCAAGACCCTCAAATGATCTGGGGGGGAGCCTCAGCCCTTGCAAATTCTCCCAGAAGTGGTTTAGAGTGTAATTTGAGGTTCCTGCTAGAAGCAGGGGCACAATTCTGGCCTCTGCGACACCCAGCGGCTGATGGGGGGGCTGATTTTTGCTTCGCGTGCGCCCACGTCTGGAGCCCCCTCCGGCGAGAAGAAAAGTGGCTGTGGGGGTGGGAGACGGGCAGTTTTTTATAAGGAGAACAGCACTGGGGGAGAGGGGCGGTGGCAGACGGCGCGGCCTGCCCCGGGAAGCCTGTGGGAGGGGGCGCTTAGGGGCGCAGGCCTGGTTCCTCGGACCAGCACCGTAGCAGAATCGCGTTCACCAGAGATCGGCCCTGGGGGAGGGGCACCAGGGCGCGTGCGCGCTCCGGCCCAGCACCCAACGGGGGTCGGCCCGGGCCGGTGGAGGGGGGGGGGGGAGGGGAGGGGGGGAGCCTTGAGCCGGGGAGGGAGGTGCTCGGATCCCTCTCACTCGCTGCTCGCTCGCTTGGCGCGGCGCTGGGGGAGGCGGGAGCGTGAGTCACGGCAACTCCCGATTTAGGTGCCTGAAGGGGGGCTCTGTCGGCGGGGGCCGCGGGGAGGAGGCGCGGCTGTTTACTCGCCCTAAAAGGACACGCGGGTGCGCCCCGCAGCTGCCGCGGACCTGCCTCAGTTTACCTCCTACGGAAGCACTTTAAAAGGGACAGCGACAAATAAAGCGGAGGGCGGGCAGCCGGGATAGTGGCCACGGTGTCCTCCTGGAGCCGCACAGAGGGACACACCCCAGAAACACTCCAAGGCCGGCCCAGGCCAACCACATACATATACACTAACATGCGTAGACGTTCCCAGACACCACAGTCAGACGACGGAGGTTGAATCCCGCGCACATCGCCGACTGCAAACACGCACCCACCATAAAGCAAACCAAACTCGTGGGAACACACAAATAGCCCCTGGGCCACCGAAACAGATCCGGTGGAGGCGCACACCGTCCAAACAGACAACACAGGTGCGCACACATATTTCACCCACAGACACACACAGACAACACACACCGCGAAATCCAGAAGAACAGCCAGCCTGTAGCAGCCAACCACGTGCGCACACACACTTTCAGTAGACACTAAAAACACTGACAACCCTCGGAAGGGGCCACGTGCGTGCACACCATGCCCGGGACACACACCATTGCCATCCTTGGACCCAGGCAGGAAGTTCCCGGCACACAGCCGCTGCTGGCCTAAAGCACAGTGCCCGTGGCACTCGGACCCACTCTCCATGAGCCTCCCCCAGCCGGGGGTAGCGGCGAGGACACGCCAATCCTGGGCTCCGCCCCCGCCATGATGGACCGACTGACTGACACACCAGCAACCAGTAGCTTGTCTTCTTCTCGATCGGATTAACCGCTTAACTCCTTAGTGCCTGTGCGCGCCGCGGCGAGGCAGGGCGCTCTGGAGAGAGCAGAGTTCCAGCGCCCCCTCCCCACCGGGAACAAGGCTCTGCGTGGGAAGGAAGGCCCCCCCTCCTTGGGTGGCTGCCCCCCACTGGCCCGGACGGAGGAGGAGAGGGGCGGCGCTGACAGCCGCGGCGGGTGGGGGGCGGGGAAGGGCGGGACTGGGCGGGGGAGCCAGGGTTGGCGCCGAGCCGGGCTCGGAGCGCGGAGAGCGCAGCCCGGCACTGAGCAGAGCGTCGGGTGCCGACTGGAAGCCGTGGCGCCCGGCCCGGGGGCGATCGGCCCGAAGCGCCCCCGGGTCTGTCCCTAGGGCGCCATGGCCCCACCGAGGCCGGGCGCACCCGCGGGGCACCGGACAACTCGGCTTGTGAGCCGCTGAGCGGGGTGCAGTTTGGACAGGCCAGGGCCCTCGGGGCGCATGTGGGGGTCGACGCCATGGAGCCCCCGGCCGCCCCCTCGGAGAGGAGCCTGTCTCTATCCCTGCCTGGGCCTCGGGAAGGCCAGGCTACCCTGAAGCCACCCCCCCAGCACCTGTGGCGGCAGCCGCGGACCCCTATCCGTATTCAGCAGCGCGGCTACTCGGACAGCGCAGAGCGCGCGGAGCCCGAACGGCCGCCGCACCGGCCCATCGAGCGTGCCGACGCCGTGGACAACAGCGACCGGCCTGGCCTGCGCACGTCCCGCATGTCCTGGCCCTCGTCCTTCCACGGCACTGGCAGCGGCGGCACGGGCGGAGGCAGCTGCAGGCGGTAAGACCCTGGGCGGCGGACGCGCGCGGAAAAGATAAGCGCGCAGATAGGACGCAACTCGCCCCGCCGACCGCAGGGGGCGCTGTGACACGGGTGGGGTCAGTGTGGCTGGCATTTGGGGGAGGGGGTTGGTGTACTGCGGGGGCGTCCCGGACGCGGTTCCTGGTGGTGCACTGTTCTGGCGGCTTCTGATGGAGTCCGTCTATGAGTAGACTTAGAGGGCACGATGTTATATGTGTGGTATCAACAGAGTCAGGATTGGGGAAGAGGGCTGCAGTTTTAGGGGTCTAGATTCTCGTTGGTGACAGTGCAGGGCAGCTGATAGGCTGAGCAGCGCTTGGAGGGATCTTCCTAGGGATACCTTACCGAGGAGGGCCAGATTCATTGTGCTTGGGGGTGTCCTGGGGACACTTTTAGAGGGATGCCTGCTAGGACCATAATCTTTGCTCCAGGCTGGGGAGGGTCTCAGGGTCCTTCTGGGAGGTAGGGGACTGTGTGGGGGTGGGGCTTATTCACAGATTCATCCTGCAGCACCTAGAGTCAGAAACCCAGAGAGGGCGCCTTGGGCATCCTCTCTTAGGGCCTGGTGTTGGGTGGGAGCCCCCTCTGAATAGGAGCTGCCCAGCCATAGAGAACAGTGCAGGAGGGTGCATGGCCCAGCAAAGGGTGAGGGAGGTGACAGTGTGTGTGTGCGGGGTGTTGGTGAGCCCTGATGTATATCCTCTCACCCACCTAAGTTCTGCCCCCACCCCCAGTACTCCTACTGCGGGTGCTGTGACTAGCTGCGGTTGACTTGACTGGGTGCTCTGCCTGGGTTTCTGAGCTCTTGTGATTTTGACAGACATTAATTGTGACAGGGTGACTGGGTATTCTCCTGGGATAGTGTGATTATGAGTGTGACTGTGTGTCCTGGACAGTGATTGTGACAACATGACTGCATGCTACTGGGATAGTGTGATTGTGACAGCATGATGGTGTGTGTTCCTGGGACACTGTGACTGTGATAGTGACTATGTGTGCTCCAGAAACATTGTGATCACGCAGGGTGGCTGTGAGTGCTCTAGGAACAGTGTGATTGTGACAGGGTGACTGTGTGTGCTCCTGGGACAGTGGTAGTGATAGTGTGCACCACTGGGATGCAGTGCCTGTGACACTGTGATGTGTACACTACTGGGGACAGTTTGAGATTGTGTCAGTGGACTGTGTGTGCTCTTTGGGACATTGGTTGGGACACTGTGGCCATGCTGGCAGCTGCCTGTGTGCCTCGTGTCTGGAGTCTGAGCTCTGGCCTGCAGGGTCTTCGTTGCTGCTGTCTGCACCCAGCTGATGGGTGGGTGAGCTCTCTGTCCTCCAACTGCCCGATGTCTCTAGTTACTGTATCTGCTCCAATGGCTCTCTGGGACCTGACTGCTCTGGTGGCTTGTGATTTAACAGCTTTAACCATGTGCTTTCCCTAACACCCATAGATACCCCTCTTCTTGAGACAATACTGAGACAATGAGATGGGGGCCTCTCACTCCTGCAGTTCCTGAATGTGGCCCCGCTAAGCTTTCACCCTACAATTCTTAGGACTAGGAGCTCTGGTAGCACGTAGTGCCTAAGGCACTTGACTGCTAACCAGAAGGCTGGTGGTTCAAACCCACCAGCCACTCCTCAGAAGGAAGGGTGGGCAATCTACTTCTGTAGTGATACCGCCTCCGAAACCCAAGGAGGGGTCGCTATGAGTCAGGTCTGACTCGACGGCACATAACAACAACACATAACAACTTAGGACTTTTGGGGCTCCTCCAGCAGGCACCTCAGCCCCAAAGCCACCCTCCCTCCATTCTGGGCACTCCCAGCCCTGGGACCCCTGCCTCACTCCTGGAAGTGGGTATCATGGGCCTAGCACACACAGCCTGATATTTCCCAAGGGGAGCACGAGAGACACTGAAGGAAAACAAAACTGGAATCAACAGGAAATGCCAAGACCAGGGGCAGCAGGCCAAAGTGACGCAGGTCACTGTCTGGAGAGACAAATGTGGGGGTGGGGTACGGTAGAATTCAAGCCCTACTCCCTTTTAGGGCCCTGGGGACTCCCCCTATCCTGGGCTCCTGGGATGCTGACTCTAGGGGACAGCGTCTGAGTGGCAATCATCATCATTATTTTAGTGGTATCCATCTTGTAATGGAAGGAACTCTGGTGGCACCATGCCTAAGGCAGTTCAAACCCACCAGCCACTCTGAGGAAGGAAGACTTCCGTAAAGATTTACTGCCTCAGAAGCCCAATGGGGGTCGATATGAGTCAGAATCAACTCAATGGCAGTGGATTTGGCTTTTGGTTTTTTTTATCTCATAATGGCTCACTTTGAGACGCTGCCAGGAACTTTTCCACATGTTCTCGTCCCCGGTGCCTGGTTAGGTATCCCTGTTGGCTACATGTGGAAACTGAGGCCCAGAGAGGCCAAGTCTTGGCATTTCCTATTGATTCCAACTTTGTTTTCCTTCAGTGTCCCTGTCCCAAGTCCCTTCTGCTTTTCACTCAAGCCCACACAACTAGGAAATGGCAACCAAGGTAACGACATCGGTCAGCCTGATGCCTGTGAGTCCTTGTGCAAGTGACTTACCCTCTCTCCCTCGGTTTTCCCATCTGTGAAGTGGCACTGTTGTTGATACTGTGCTGTGGGGGTCAGTTTGAAAGTTCTTTGCCATCAGGAATGTGTGTGAAGGGCTTCACACAATGGTTAGCTGCTCAGGGTGCTGAGCCCTGCTCCTCTCTGGAATGTTGACTGCAGCCATGCAGGCAGGCGTTCAAGTTCCTCCCGTCCCATTCGGGGCTTGTGGAGCTTCCTGTGGCTGTCCCTCTGCCCACGGCTGGGCCCAGTGGGCAGGACTGGGGGGGACATTGGTACCATTGCCTTCCTTCAGGCAGAAGAGAAAGGGGGAACTGAGAGACTGCCACTGGGAACTCCCCTCCTTAGATGGGGCATTGGGGCCAGGCCACTTCTCCCGGAAGGGGGCTCCTAGCGCTCCCCAAGTCAGAGTTCACCCAGCCTTCAGGAGGGAGGTCCAGAGAGCCCCCCAGACTTGAATCTCAGGAACCTCTAAAGAGAGGTCGCTGCCCCCGTCAGAGATAACATCCGTGCACCCCCTCCAGACCTATGGATGTACAAGACCTAGCTCCTGGCACCCTGCAGGGCTGAGTCACAGGCACCACCACGCTCTGTCAAGAGGCGGATGGAGCAAGGAAGAGAAGGATGCTTGGTGGGGGGGCTGCCTGCTTTTGGGGGCAAGGGATGCCCCCTAAGGGCTGGGTTTCCCAAAATCTCCCCACTGAGGGGAACGCTATAAAAACCCAGCATGGACCCAGAAAAGGCTGGAGGCACCTGGGCTGAGGTCTCTCTCTGGCCCGTGGTCTCTGTCTTCACCTCCTCTAGTCGCTAGCGCTCCCAGTTTTCTGAATCTGTACTAGAAACTGGTCTCCCCTTGCGCCCCTCCCTCCGCGCGCTCTCTGCTGGACGACTAGAAAGGCACAGCCTGCGTGTGCGCTCCGAGGCCCACCTGCCTCCGGGACGCTGGTCTCCGAGCAAAGCAAAGTCGCCGCCGCCGCCACTACCGCGGCGCCCCGTATTATAATTTCATGGTTATTGAGCGTCCCGGAGAGCGGGCGCCAGGCCGGCCGACCGCAGGCTGCGGGTGGGATCCTTCCTTTTCCGGAGTCGGGACTTGTGCGCTGCTGACCCCCTCCTCCTCTACCCTCCTCCAGCCAAGAGCAGCGGAGAGGGCCTCCTGGTGGATGGAGAGGAGAGGAACTTGGCTGAAAGGTTCCCAGCCCGGGCGCGGAGTTTCCGTCCTGCCTTCGCACTGTTGCCTGTACCCATGCCCAGGCCTCCCCACACCGATCTGCGATTTCACTCTCAGCACCCAAAGTCCCTGTCGGTTTGCTCTGGACTGCTAACCGAGGTTAGCAGAACCTACCCAGCAGTACTGAGGAAGAAAAGGCCTGGCAATCTATTTCCGTTAAGATTACAGCCTAGAAAACCCTATGGAGCAGTTCTTGTCTGTAACATATGGGGTCATCATGAGTCAGAATCGACTGCATGTCAATTAACAACAACAATGTCCTCAGCTCTCCACTCTTGCCAAGGGAACAGAGATGCAATGATTTGACCAAGGTCACACAGCAAGAACTGGGGTTAAAAGCCAGATCTCCTTGACTCTAGACCAGTGGGTAAGATTCATATTGTGCTTCTGGCTGGTGATTATCCCTGAGTTTCAGTTTCTTCATCAGGAGAACGGGCTTAAAAATAAGACTGCCCACTCCCGGGGTTGTGGTAAGGCTGAGATGGCTAAGTCAAGGCTGGGCAGCCAGAGCTGGAGTTCTGAGAACACACTTCCTCAAGTGACATCAGCAGAGAGAAAGGGGGCCCCCCAACCTGAAAACCCAAACCCCTGGCTGCCAGGGCGCCTCGTCTTTCACCAGTAACAGCGACCGCAGCTCCTCTGAGTTGCAGGAAATGGGGTTTTGGGCAGACTGTCAGGAAGAGAACGTAGTTTTGAGTGATAGCTGAGCCCACTGTTTTTACTCCTAAGTAAGAGTTCAAATCCAGTCTCTGCCCTTTTCTTGCTGGGAGCCCCCCAGGTATGTACACTGGTGTCTGAGCATCAGTTTCCTCATTTGTAAGAGGCCCACTCATTTCACAAACATTGACTGGGTATCTTCGAGGATATAGTACAAAATGACATAGACCCCAGTCCCTGCCGTCCTGGAGTTCTCAGACTAATGGATAAGGCAGAAATAGCAAGTAAAGGCATATGATAATTCCAGATGGCAACACGGATATGAAGAAAATGAATGGATAAGATGAGAGGGACTGTGGGGTCAGGGCAGGCCACTCTGCGGAGGTGATATTTGAGCTGAGAAGTGAATGAAGTGAGAGAGGGAGCTATGTGTGTGTCTGAGGAAAGACGGTTCCGGGCAGACGGAACAGCCAATGGTTCTGAGCTGGCCGTGTGTCTG